CCTGAAGCCTCCTGATCTCCTGGTCAGAGGACTTCTCTTCATGAGCCCCTCATGCAAGGTCTTCCACAGGGTCCACAATGGGCACTGAGGATGTGCCCTGGGCTCACGAGGAGTCCAGAAAGACAGCCCACATTGACGCAGCTGCAAATGAGCCAAACACTGCCACGCAGCACTGTTGTCCTATCTTCCAACTTAAAAGAAACTGAAAGTCCAGATTTTTATGTGGGTCAACAACTAGGAGCACTGCATGAGTTGACAAAATCTTGGCTACATCTGGCCTTTTTGTACCCTCTGAATGTCTATCTTCCAGTAACTCTAGGCAACAAGCCCAGGATTAGGCCTTCAAGACAAGGACCCTATCTGGCTACTCAGCCTGCCACCACCCTGGCAGAGGGGTCTGCCAGGCCTGCCAGCCTGCAAGCCACCTCCTACTGGATCTCACCAGGTGTGGATCAGGCCTCAGTGCACCTTCTCTACCTGTCCCCCCACTCAACCCCGGGCTCCCAAGTCCAGGGAACAGTCTGGGACATCAACTCCCATCCTGCTTTCTCCAGGATCAAGTAAGTGCTCCCAGCCAGGGATCTCTACGCCAAAGGCTCAGGCACACTTCTAGCCTAGCCCCTCTACCCTCAAGGCTTCCACAGAGTGCCCCTTCCTCAGGGAAGCCCTCTTTGCCTATGTCTCATCAAGAGACAGTGAGCCCCACAAAGGCAAGGCCTGGGCCCTAATGTCAAGAGGCCAGGGCCCTGAGCAGAGAAATGCCTCCCTGCTGGTCTGCCAGGGTCTAGTGGGATCCACAATGACCCACCCTATATCCAGCTGGCTCCAAAGTTCCTCTGAGGCACACCACAGTGCAGGGCGGTCTGGTCCCACTCACCTGTGGAAGCCTAGCACCAGTAAGTGCTCAGTCAAGAGTGGCATGGGGACCCATTCTTGCCCCTTCATCCTCCCTGATGCATTCAGCTTCCAAGCCCTGCACTGAGCAGGAAAGTGGATGCCCCGCCCATCTCAAAGGTTCCCCGCACCTCCACACTCCTGCTCCCCTCATCCTCCGGGACAGGACTGGGTACCTCTCTCCACCTTGCCTTCCTATAGCTCCATTCCAGGATATTCCTGAGAGCAAGCCATGCATGGTAGTGGACCTGAGTGGCATTCCACAGCCTCTTCCAAGGAGGGCAGGCAAGGGACAGCCCTGTCAAGTGTGTGTGAGGAAAGACCAGTCAGTCTGAGCTCCCCTGATCACACGGCCTCCAGCTGCATAGCTGACCTGCCTAAGATGATGGACCTCTGCAGCCTCCCATCTGGGTGGGCACCAGTCCATGCCACAGAAAGAGGGCAGTGCCTGTGAGGTGAGCACCCAGGCGCTCCTTCAGAAGTCTGGCCAAATAAACCCCACCAAAGGCCAACAGAGTGCTCCAAGCTGCTAGGGAAGAAAAGGACAGGGAAGCAGGCTCTCGAGTCTCGGGCTGCTTCTTGGACAGCCTGGAACACAAGTTCAGAGCTGGAGACGTTCCTGTGGCAACCTCTCTTTCCCACCCAGCCCACCTTCTCAGTGCAGAGTTGGGTACAGAGGTATAGGGGCAGAGATCAGGGCCACACTAGAGTCCAACTGGCTGTGCCATTTGCTTCTTCTGTGAGTGACCATACCAAGTCATTCTTTGTCCCAGGCTTCAATCTCTGCATCTGTCAGCTGAAAGGATGCTCTCTCCTTTATCTCCTCTTGGGGATGACATAAATCAGAACTTCACTTGCATTCCATCTCCTGGTACCACCAGCCAATGCATGGGACAAGCTAAAGGACCAGTACCAGCTGGGAACAGAGCCCCTGGGATACTGGGGATTATTCCTGCCCTAAAACTGCTTGCATAAGTTGGCTACTTCCCAACACACCAGACTGCACTAAGTTTCTGTATCCCTCCTGGGATGCCCTCTCCCCTGAAAACCTCCAGATGCCATTTGGATTCATCTGTCTGGGAAGCCTCTCTAAGGACCCTGGTGGATGCCACTGCACTTCAGTGCTAGCCCATCTACAGCAGTGACTTCAGCCCTGCTCCCACCTTATGATCCTGGGACTCTATCTTGGGTCTCCAAACTATTCAGCTCTGTCTCCTGTGCCACCCAACTCACTGAAAGGAGCTTTTTTCAAAGACCTATGGTGCCATGTGGAAGTGCTATAGCTACTTCTGAGGCATTCAAATTCAGGTTTTCTCCCTGCTGTTCTGCAACACCTGGTCCAACCACTTCAACCCTTTCTGAACCTAGAGTGGCCACCTGTCAATGGAGACAACAGCTTCAGCTCACAAGAGGTTGTGGGACTCAATAAAGCATGTGTCAGAGGCACTCAATCAGTCCCTACCATACAACAAACGCACACTCAAAGCTAGTTTGAACCAAATGACAGAAAAATTATTTTCCCAATTGGCATTTACCACCTAGAGACTAGTGTGTGCTTCACCTCTTTGCCTTAGGTGTCTCTCCAAAAGCGCCCGACAGGGTTCTGGAGATACCATTTGCAAAACACTCATAGGAGTGCCTGGGCGCTCACAACATATCGGCTGCGAGCATCATGCCTGTAAGGAGATGTTGGAAAGATGAGGTTGAGGAACAGTCCAATGCATCACCTGCTCTACCTGCTTAAATTGGGTCAGGCAGAGCTGTGTACCCAGCTGTTGCCATGGCACCCAACACAGGGAAACATACTCCAGCTAGGAGGGCGGATGCTGCAGGGGTGGGGCTTCGGCTGCTTCACTCAGAGTTGCCAGCACCAAGTCTGAGCCATCTCAGAGGTCCCTTGGGTTTGGGAAAATCACTGCTGGATCTGGGCCAAGGACCTAAACAGGTTCAGTCACTCCAGCCCCGTCCCCAACTTATAAACAATGCCCCCCTCCCCAGGTAGGGATCCTGGGCTACAGACCAGTGTGGGTAGAGGGAGCAAGAATCCAGGAACCTCAACTCCTGGACACAAGCCAAGGCAGCTCTGAACCGGCTTGAAGTCCTCTGCAGCCACACCTGCCAGCACCAAACCGGTAGCCCGCACCCACTAAGTGCCCAACCACGGGAGCCCTGTGTCAGTTCCTTTCTTCATGGCCCCACTCAGGTTTCATGCAGGCTTGGGCCTGGGAAAGGCTGTCTGGGCTCAGCTGGGTTTGGGAAATCAGAGGCCCCTTGCCAGAGGGGAAAAAGAGAAAACAGACATGGAATTCAGATCATGCGGGCTAAGACCTAGAACTTTCCAGACTTTCCTGGATGAGGGGGCAGGTTTAGAGCCACGGAGAGGCTGATAGGTAGGGTGACAGTGGTCACAGAGACTGGGAGGCTGGGGAGACCTCAGCCTGTGGCTCAATGTCAATTGCTTGATGGGATTCTTGGGGAGGGGAGTGCTGCCGATCTATGGGAGACCGAGAAGGGCTGGAGCCTAGGCGTCTCTGTTCACAGCAACCACAAATACTGCAGCATTTTGTCTGGGTGGGATATGGTACACAAATTACCCATGCCCCTCACAATCTAAAGAGTACGTCTCACTTCTCTGTTCTCCAAGAGGAAACTGAGGCTCAGAAGCACAAGAGGGTAGTGATCAAAAGTGCATCCTAAGCTGGAAACCAGGTTCTGCTGTATTAATGCAGGAAAACGACCCTGTGCCTCAGTTCTCACCCCTCTGTGGGTACCCCATCTCTACCTGGCTCCATGTCACAGTCAAGGGGTTGAGAGCAACAACTCCTGGCTCTTGACATCAGAGAGGTTAAGTAACTACAAAAAGCCCCCAGCCAGTGACTCGCCAACTCCAGGCCCCAGCTCTGAGCACAGTGGGCCACTGTGTGGGGTGACTGTAGGAGTCCAGGCAACTCGGGATCCCCTAAGCCCCTCCAAGAGGTAGTCTTTAGATGAAGTGCTCCTAGCAGACCAGGGAGCCAGGGCATGGAAAAGGTATCCACCACCAAAGTGCTGTGCAGCTCCCGGTAGAGTATTCAGTCTCCAAATTCATCCAACAGGTCTCCCAACAGGCCAAGTTCAGCTGATCACCACCTCTTTTGAGGTCTCTAGCAAGCCACTCACTCTCTTCCTTTTCATGGGCCTCAGTTTCTCTTATCTCTGAACTGTGGCAGCCCCTGCTCACTGGCCCCTCAAGGCCTGAGGAACAAAGGGCAGGCTAGGTGAGGTGGGGCAGCACATGCCAGGCCCTATCATGCATTGTCTACTGGAAATGCTCTGCAAGACTGACAGAAGAACTCTACCAGGCCCAGTTTCCAGAAGCAGAAACAAGAACCCAGAAGGAGCCAGGATCCAAGTGCCTAGCTGTCTGATTCCAAGGATCACTCCCGGCAAGCCAGGGCTGTGACTCCAGGTGGGCCAGTGAAGGATGGGCACCCTAGGAGCTCAGGCACCTTCAGCAATAAGTGGGCAGCTGGACCTGCCAGGATGGGGATCAACACAAAACCAAACTCAATCCGTAGAGAGGGCAGCAGCCTTCCTGACAAGGGCATTTGCAATGCAAAGCAGTCCAGCTTGGCCAGAGGACAGTGGCTCAGAGGGGGCTGGGCAGGTCAAAATTCAGCCACCATCTCCAGCCAGACCCCAGTGTGTCTGGGAGTGCCTGGGACGGGTTCTCTGCAATCACCAGCCAGAAAACCTGCACAGGCACAAGCATTACATCACGACAGTTCCAGGTGTAGCGGGGTGCAAGGTGGCCAGGAACACCCCTTCCCTGCTCTCCGGAAGCACAAATCCCCTGGTTCTCTATACTCGAGTCCACAGGGCAGACTTATCGTGGGCCACACGCAGAGCTCCAAAGGGTAGCTGCAAAAACAGACTCCCAGATAGCTAGCTGGTCACCTGCAAACAGGTGCCTGGCACTCTGCCAGCTTGTTCAGGCCCTGTCCAATTTTATCCTTGACACACGGATCCCCTGGGACCCCCTCATCCTAAGGAAAAACTACACACTGCCAAGCAGTTAGATCTCATCAGCCCCTTACCCTGCAGGCAGTAAATGTCCCGGCTCCTACCTTGAAGACAAACTGACAAAATCTCCACCATCTAGCAGCCGGACCTTGCAGAAAAGGACCCCATTCACGAAGGGGACCGCAGTCAGCTCCTCCAGGGTAAAAGTGGTTTGGAATTTGAATTTCTTTTTCTTCATCAAGAAAGCCATGAGCGAGTTCCCTGAGTCTGAAGCCCCAAAGGCAAAAAAAAAAAAAAAAAAAAAGCCGGGGGGGGGGGTTGCCAGAAATCCCCAGGATTCCTTTCTTTCCACCTCACCCCCTCCCCAAAAACGCCAGAGCCGTCTCCTGCCCAGATGGTGGCGGAGGCAGCAGCGGAGCGGGCGGAGATCGAAGTCTGGAGCTTCGGGTCTGAGGAACCAGTCCAGTGTCCACCGGCCAGCTGGCTTCACCCTCTGGGAGCCGGGTCTCCGAGAAGCTCGAAGCGGCTGGGGGCTTTGCCGGCCCGTAAACGGTGAGGCATGGCCCGGGAGGCCAGGGCAGGGGCGGCCGGCGGCGCACTAGCGGGTAGCATCCCGAGGGGCCCGGGAAGCTCACGCCGCGCGTCCCCGAGGACCGATGAGACTGCGAGGCCCGCGCAGCGCCGGTGCGATCGAGGTGCGCGCGGCCCCGCCTCCGCCCCCGCCCCCGCCCCGCTGGCGGCCGGGGGCGGTGCCTTCGCCGTGCTCGCCCCGCACCTGGGCCCTACGCCCTGCGCAGGTGAGGCAGAGACGGAGGCGGGTGGGGGCAGGGCACTCCCGCAGTGGCCCGGACTCTGGCGGCCTCGGGGAGGCGCGGCGGGCTGTCTGCGGGCCGGGAAGTCCGGCCTCCTCCGGGCGGGCACCGGGCCGGCTGCGGGCAGCGGGGGCGCCGCCTCCTCCTCGGTACTGGGACCCGCACCGCGGGCCCCGGCGGAACTAAGAAGCTCTACGGCTCGGCCGGTGGCTTCCGCCTCGCCCGCTGCCTCTGCCCAGCACCCCGCGAGCAGCAGTGCCGCCGCCTGCGCCCCCAATTGCAGCTGCCTGAGTCCGATGCTGCGCGCCGCCGCTCGGAGAATGCAGAGGCCCTGAGCGGCCGCCCGCCGAGCCGCGGGCGAGCGGGGCTGGGGCGGGTGCTGGCCGCTCATTCCGCCCGTGATTGGACGGCCCTTGGGGGCGAATGCAGAGCGTCATTGGTGGACAGTGGCGTGGGGCGGGACTCGTGGGAGCAGAGGGGGCTCGAAGCGCTTGGATTGGCGCACTGTGAGACTAGGCCCTCCTCCCCGGGAACGGCTGGGCTGGACCCGAGGGACTGGGAGAGGGGCCCGGGCTAGGCGAGAGGGTGGGAGGTTGCGGGGCGGGGAGGAGGGAGCGCGCGGACAGAAGAAAAAAAGAAACAATGACGGGGAGAAATTGGAAACTGGCAGAAACTGCCTTCCAAGGTCCTGCTGGCCTTGAGCGTTGAGCTCTAAAGTGGGCTTGGAAGATGAATGAATCCCATTTCTGTGAAGACGGCCACCCAGAGAGACGGATGGCCCGGGACCACGCGGGTCTGAGTCAGGGCAGAAATGTGCGAAAGCTCGGCGGCCGCGAGGTGATTTGGAGCAGTTTATCTCGTAGCCTTGTGACCCAGCTTGCTTTGTTGCAGGCTGTTGTCTAAGCCTCTTGCTGCCCTTTCATTTCTTGGATAGTTATAGCTGGTCTCTGGCTAGATGAACTCAGGAACAGTGAACATCTCGGGAGCCCCATATGTACCCCCCAGGTCCTCAGTATCATTCAGGTCCCTTAATGATTAGGGTCACTGCTCTGAGCCCGGTGGGGACCCAGTGAGAGGCCTAATAGGGTTGCTGTCTCTGACCCCTCCAAGCTTAAGGGTAGGTGGACATAAGGCAGCCCTTGGGAAGAAAAGTGAGGGAGGTTAGGAGGGGCATTGGGAATCCAGAATCCCCTGGATACAAGCCTGAATTGTGTCTGCACCTGTAAACAAGGACCCTCCTTTCTGATTTCTTCTGGTTGGTACATGCATGAGTGTCTCATGGGATGGTTTGTACCACCCCATGAGACTGTCTTAGGGCGCCTGATGGGACAAGTCATGCATGTACCACCCACTGGTGCTTCAGAGCTGCCCAGCAGCAACCCATGAATTATGGCCCTGTGGTGAACAAATTAAATCCCTCCACACAGGTTTTAACTTTGCTGGGACTCCAGGGCAGTGTTCTTGTCTCTCATCAGGCTTCCCTGCTCCCAGAGGGGAGAGCCTGTGGCTACCTGAGCCCAGGAAGGGATTTTAAAGGAAGGAGTCAGACAAGGATATCCCTCCCTCTGCTGTGACCGTAAGTAACCTCAGGCCACTCCAACAGGAAGTAGGGTGGGCCTCCCTGCCCCAGTTTGGCTCCATTTGTGTTGCAGCCTTCAGGATAGGAACCTAGGAAATTTACCTTCTCTCATTTCCCACATCGTGCCTGGGGAAGGAGTGAGAAAATAGAGGACAGGATGCTAGATTTGGGGTGAAACGTGCCCTACTTAGAATCCTGGCTCTGCTGTGCTTTGGCAATGTGAGATTCGCTTGTTTCACTGATGGGGGGTGTATTATGACGGAGCAAAGGCCCAGCTGACAGGCTGATGATCAGACAGGTCACACAAACTTTGGTTATAGTTTTTCATGCATACAAAGGAATCTTGCATGTTTATAATCCTAGCACTCTGGAGGCTGAGGCAGGAAGATCACCCTGAGTTTGAAGGCAGCCTGGAGTGCATAGCGAGTTCCAGACCAGCCTAAAATACCTAGTGAGACCATATCTCACAAGAATAAAAAGCAAAGAATCCCAGTCTTTCTAGAATGCTGTGAGGGCTTCATGGGACTGTGCCTGCCAAAGGCTTAGGCCTGGAAGGACAAGAGGATCTGAGTAGGTGGTCAGTGGAGAGCTCCAGCCTGCCAATTGTCAAGTGTGGTCTGTCCTACCTCCTTGAGGGTCCAGCCAGGCATAGAGGGAGCTCAGCACCAAATAAGACTGTTTCAGACAAGTGTGGAGAATGAGTTCAAGGCCAGTCTGAACTACACAGTGAGACCATGTCTCAAAAACTCTTGAGAGGCATGATGGTACATGCCTGTCATCCTAGCACTTGGGAGGCTGAGGCTGGAGGATTACCGAGAGTTCGAGGCCAGCCTATGCTGCACAGTGAGTTCAGAATCAGCCTGAACTGCATAGCAAGACCGTATCCTTTTTCCTTTTAAAAAAAAAAAAAACACTTTTTATTTTTTTAATTAGTGCATGTTTGTAGGGGGTTGGTACATGTACATGACACATTTTAATTCCCTCCTTTCTCCCCTAGTCTCTATCTCAAAAAACCTAAATAAATAATTAAAAGTAACCTTTGGAATAGGTATGGTGGTGAACACCTAAAATCCCAGTACTCTGGAGGCTGAAGCAGGAGTGTTGACATGAATTTGAGGGCAACCTATGAATTCAAGGCCAGCCTCAACTAGATAGTGGGACCTTGTTTCAAAAAACAAACAAAAAAAATAAATAAATAAAATAGCACCCTCTGAGCCATAGCACATACCTCTAATCTCAGCACTCTGGAAGACTGAGGCAGAAAGATTGTAAATTAGACCAAAGTCTGGGCAATTTAATGACTTAGATCCTGTCTCAAAAAAAAAAAAAAGAAAGAAAGAAAGAAAAGAAAGGATATAGCACAGTGCAAAGGCCCAGTTCAATCCACACAGTAACAACAACAAAACAAAAACCTATGTTGTGGCTGCCCTGTGGAACTGGCTTTATCATCTGGGGGCGGGAAGAAAAGCCAGCAGTGAGAGGAGGCTGCAGGAGCTGGGGTGGCCCTGACCATGACAGAGACGTAGCGATGGGAACAGAACGGGCCAGCGTCGTGTCGCATACAAGAAGGCACTGGCAGTGCTGGCTGAGGAGTCACAGTTACTCAGGGCAGTGCTAACTCCGCCTTTTGAACATCCCCGGGGTTTAAATTGATCGTTGCTGCAAGGTCCTTGATGTTGGGAGGTGGAGAGCATAAGCCCCCCCAGAGAATATCGGGACAGCTGGCATTTAGTGTGGCCACAGATTCCAGAATGTGATGCAGGTGGGAAAGTTAGGACCCCTTAGGAGACCCTTGTCCTTGTCTGATCCTGGACAAACTGTGCTGCCCTCAAATTAGCACTGCTGTATGAACGGTGCCACGGAAACGTGTGTAGTTGCGTGAATGGCCTCACTGATGTATAATTGAGAAACAGTGACTGTTTACATTTTTAAAAATGTAAAAGACACATTTCCTTTGATCCCCATCAGAATACTGCCCCCCCACGTAAGCTGGGCATGGTGGCCCACACCCAGAATCCCAGCACCTAGGAGGCTGAGGCACCAGGGTTACACATTCAAGCCCAGTTTGGGCACCTGAGAGACTTTGTGAGACCTTGTTTTTTAAAAAAAAATTTTTGGTACATTTTAGACATACATAGTGGTAACATTCATTGTGGGAACTTTGTACCTGTTCATGGTGTAGCTTTTTGTTGTTGTGTTTGAGACAGGGTCTTGCTCTATACCATAGGCTGGCTTTGAACTTGCTTGTATAGCCCAGGCTGTCCTTGAATTCATAGCAAAGCTCCCGCCTCAGCCGCCCAAATTTTGGGATTGTAAATGTGTGCCACCACACTCAGCTGTATTCAGTATATTTTGCTTCTTTTTTTTCCCCATTGCCCTCCTCTCCCATCAGCCCTGCTTCCCTTCTTTATTTACAAAATTTTGTTTCCATTTTTCCTTCTTTTTTTTTTTTTTTTGTACCAGGGATCAAACTCACGACTTCAAACTTGCCAGGCAGGTGCTTATGCCACTGAGCTAAATTCCCAGCCCCTCTATTTTTTTTCTTGTCCCTGTTTTAATACTAAAATAAATAAAAGGATGAGGATGTAGCTCCTTGCAAAAGTCCTAGGTTTAATCCTCAGGACTGCAAAGTAAATAACTGAAATTTTAAAAGAGAGTAGAAACTGAGGTAAGCCCGGGATATGTCACTTGCCCACTTCACCTGAGGGCAGCTACCCAGCTGGCCTGCACCAACGCCAGCTCAGAGGCTGCTGTGCGGTCAGTCATGCCACACCACGTCGCCTCCCAACCTGCCGGCCAAGGGCAGTGGGCGCTGAGTCACTGGTGACTGGACTCTGGGTGTTTACGGAGCCAGAGCGGCCACTGAGCCAGCCAGGCAGCTGACCAGGCAGATCGATGCCATGTCCAGCTCCTTGCTGCTGTCAGCCAGTCCCACCAGACGATAAAGGAGCCAAAGAACTCATCCCCAGCACTGCGTCCTGCTTGAGCCTCCCACGGCCAAGTGTACAAGGCTGCTGTTGATCAGCCAGCCCGCTCTCTTCTGCCCAGCTGACCATGGCTCATGGAGGGGAGTCACAGTTCACTGTGGCTCTGGGTCCTAGCCCAGGGTTTACTGAGTCAAAGGAAATTTGCATATTTGCCACTGAGGAAGAGGGGCTGCCAAGCTGCCTTCCAAAAAGGCTGGACAAGTTCTGTTCTGTTTTTTGTTTTGTTTTGAGGCAGGGTCTCACTATGTGTTTCAGGCTGGTCCTGAACTCACTGTGTAAC